ATACAAAAATTTGAGTAGATTAATGATTCTATGCCAATACAAATTATCAAAAGGGTTACTTTTAGGGGGATAGAAAATGAAAGAGAACACATGGATGATTTATCAATTACTGATTGCAATTTTTTAGAAAGATAAAACAGTAAGTGATCCATGGAATGATAAACAAAAGAAAATTGTGAGTCATGCCAGTTTATGCAGACAACTACCTTCCGTTTGCTACCCAGGTGGCACTAGTGGTAAAGAATCTGACTGCCAATGCAAGAGACCCAAGAGATGTGGGTTCAATCCCTGGGTTGGGAAGATCCCCTGGAAAAGAAAATGTCAATCTACTCCAGTATTCATTCGTGCCCCTAAAATCCCATGGACAGAGATTCCTGATAGGTTACAGTCTATGGAGCCGCAAAGAGTTAGACACAACTGTGCACACACATGTGCCTTCAACTTAGTGTGAAGACAGCAGAAAGTTCTGGTAGGAAGCTGTGTTATATGATCCTGCAGGTGTAGGGATGCACCAGCTCAAAGGAGATAATTGCTTCTCACACTAATGAGCATAACATCATCAATATGGATTTTGGCTATATAACTCCCAGAGGAATTTCAAGTCAGTCTGGACTTAAATAGAAATAGAAAAGGAACAGAGTCTTATGTTGGGAGACTACAGTCACAGTAACATGATCAACTTCAGACTTTCCTAGACTATGAGAATAAGCAATAATTGTAGTTGAGATATTATGGAAAGGCACCTTTCCAGAAAACTTAAAAGATGCACAGCCTTTGAGATGTCAGAAAGCGAGATTTTTCTGTAATGTTTCCACAACTTCCTATTAATTACTGAACTTCAGGGATGGCTTTTCTACAAGTTCTGGGGCACTTTAGAGCACCAGGCGATAGAGACACCAATGCTTATCATCTAATTTCACAAAACTTCATGGATCCTGTCTCCCATCCCCCTCTTTCTTTCTCAGTTTTTATTTTTATTTCTCTTTCTTTCTCTATCTCTATCCTCTGCTACCTTTCATTGAGTTTATCCAAACAGGGTCACAGAAATACTTCGGGAATTGATCAAACAATTAAAAGCCAATTATATTTACTTTTTCACCTCTTATGCCTATTTCCTAAGACAGTGTACCAAAAGTAATCTTATCAGATATTCCTATATCTCACTGATACTGATCCAATAAGTAGATAACGGAGATGTCACCATTTGAGGAAATATGAAAGATACAGCATTTTTAGGAAGTCAGGCTGTAAGATATTTTCCTGTACTGTTGCCATCGTGCTATGTTTGTTACTAGATTGTAGATATGGCTTTTCTACACAGCTCTGGGCCACATTAGGTCTCCAGGTCCTAGAGAAATGAATGCTGATTCATGAATTTTACAAAATTTTGATGGTCTCTCTCATCTGCTACCTTTCATTGTGTATATCAGAAATATAAAATTCTTTGTGGGTTACCCACAAATTATTTTTTATTTTCCACCCCTCATGTATGTTTCTTCAGACACTGTACCAAAAACAATCTTCTCTATAACTAACCGTGAAATGAAAGTGAAAGTTGCTCAGTCCTGTCCAATTCTTTGCAACCCCATGGACTATACAGTCCATGGCATTCTCCAGGCCAGAATACTGGAGTGGGTATCCTTTCCCTTCTCCAGGGGGTCTTCACAACCCAGGGATCGAACCCAGGTCTCCTGCATCTTTACCAGCTGAGCCACAAGGGAAGCCCAAGAATACTGGAGTGGGTATCCTATCCTGTCTCCAGCATATCTTCCCTACACAGGAATCAAACCGAGGTCTCCTGCATTGCAGGTGGATTCTTTACTAACTGAGCTATGAGGGAAGCCCTATACTGATGTATAGGTAAATAAGGGGGCAGCATATTCTTGGTTAATCAGAAAGTCTAGAATCCAGTTGTCATTATTACTTTTTTTAAAATCTGAACTCTCTTGATGTTTCATAAGAATTTCAGTATCTCTGATAGAATACAAATGCTCACTTCCCTGCCTGATTTGCTGCTGTGGCCAAGATGAATGCTTACACTATGAATTCAGTCCTTCACTTGCAGGGTTTAACTTGGAATTGGGTCACTCAAAGAACTAGGGTAAGGGTAAGGGAACAACCTCTAAAGGAACATGGATACAACAAAAATATATTTATTACATTTCTGGAGAAGCCTATAATATGATTCTGATGCTCTAACTGCCACTCAGAAGGGATAATGGACATATCTTCACAAGACTCATTCTCATGCTCACACTGGATATAACTCATGACTGTAGTGTTTTCTAACATAATTCAGTTAATTTCTAAAGACTTTATAAGTTGTTCAATTCTTTTAAGTATGATATTAGCAGTTTAAAATGGGATAAATTTATTTAATTGGTTAAATATCCATGCTAATGCTGTTTAATTCCAAATCTCATTTTGATTCAGTTGGAAAATCTTGCCAAAAAGTACCCTTATGAAGAGAGGGTTAGAATCTGGAGTAGGGCAATAAATAGGAACTGAGGAAGAGAGAGATTAAAAATGTACAAGTAAAAAATACTAAATTTTTTAATGACACAATTGTTTGCTGCAATGAAAGAACAAACATTTTATGTTAACTTGAAATTATCATATTGACTCACTGTTTTGTGAAAGGTGTCTTTGTGTCCTCCATAATATATGAAGTGCTAGTATTTGCTAACTGGTTTTAAGCAGTAATTGTCTTTTTTGTAGATGGTGAGAGCAGCGATGAAATTAAAAGACACTTACTCCTTGGAAGGAAACTTATGACCAACCTAGACCGCATATTAACAAGCAGAGACACTACTTTGTCAACAAAGGTCCATCTAGCCAAGGCTATGGTTTTTCCAGGGGTCATGTATGGATGTGAGAGTTGGACTATAAAAAAAGCTGAGTGCTGAAGAATTGATGCTTTGGAACTGTGGTGTTAGAGAAGACTCATGAGAGTCCCTTGGACTGCAAGGAGATCCAACCAGTCCATCCTGAAGAAGATCAGTCCTGGGTGTTCATTGGAAGGACTGATGCTGAAGCTGAAACTCCACCTGATGTGAAGAGCTGACTCAGTTGAAAAGACTCTGATGCTGGGAAAGATTGAGGGCAGGAGGAGAAAGGGACGACAGAGGATGAGGTGGTTGGATGTCATCACTGACTCAATGGACATGGGTTTTGGTGAACTCCGGGAGTTGGTGATGGACAGGGAGGCCTGGCATGTTGCAGTTCATGGGGTCACAAAGAGTCGGACATGACTGGGTGACTGAACTGAACTGAATATTGTTAGTAATATTTTTTTAAATTTCTTCAAATTTTAGAGTCATATAGTGAAGAGAGATGAGATAAATCCTTGAATAGCAAGAGACTATTACATTTTTCTGTGTTATTACAATGCCATCACTGTCTGCTTGTGATGGAAAAATTCCCCTTATTTTTCAATTGGAGAGAAAGTATATAACCAATTCCCATTCTATGAGCTAAGTTTTTATTCAGTTAACACGCTATTGCTCTATTGATAAGCATATAAAAGTATTAAAATTTATATCATTACTTCAAATTTCTCACCTTGTTACTGGAATGTAAAGTTGCAATTATTAAGGAAAACAGTATGAAGTTTTCTCAAAAAATTTTGATATTGAGCTAACATATGATCTAGAAATCTCACTTCTGGGTATATATCCAAATGAAATGAAATCCCTATCACCAACAGATACATTGCACTCTCCAGTCTCCTTCCATACTATTCACAATAGTCAAGACATGGAAATAGCCTAAGTGTCCACCAGTGGGTGAGTGGATAAAGAAAATGTGGTAAATATCTTACAGTGGGACCCTCACTCCACCTTAGAGAAGAAGAAAATTGTATCACTATGACAAAATAGATGAACCTGGAGGACAATAGTCAAAGATATGTTCGCCAAGATGCACAAAGTCAAATGCTGCACGCTATCATCTATGTAGAATATAAAAATGTTAAAGCTCTTTCTTAAAAAGTAAAATTGTGTTCACCAGGGGTTGAGGAAGGAGGGAAATGGGATCTTTATAGTCAAAGTGTACACAGTTTCAGATACACAGGCTGAGAGAATTCTGAAGATCTAATATAGAATAGGGTGAGTATAGTAAACTATTGTACTGTAGTATATATTTGAAAGATGCTGAGACAGTAAATTCTGAGAATTTACTGTCAATTCAAATTTACTGTAAATTCTGAGAATAGACAGCTCTCATTAAAAAATGAACTATGTAAGGTGATGGATAGATTTTGTTAATTGCCTTGATTGTGGTAATGATTTCACAATGTATATGTATATCAGAAAGATTCCACAGTGGCTTAGGGGTAAAGAATTCACCTTCAATGTAGGAGACATGGGTTCAATTCCTGGGTCAAGAATATTCCTTGGAGAAGGAAATGGCAACCCACTTGAGTATTCTTGCCTGGGAAATTCCATGCATAGAGAAGCCTGGAAGGCTACAATAAACGGGGTCATAAAAGAGTTGGACACAACTGAGCAACTAAACATCAACAACAACATGTATATCAAATCATCAGGCTAGAGACCTCAAAAATATGCAATTTTATTTGTCAATTATACTTTAATAAAATTAGAAGGCATACATTAATATAGAAGTGTTATTTTGTTACCAATTAGATCAGGTCCACCCTAAATCGTTTGTTGTTTTTTAGTCCTAATTTTGGGAAATTAAAAAGTATTGTACAATTTGTATGTTGACTGTTCTCACTAGTTCAGGTATTTTCATTCATACATGTTAGTAAAACTTTTTTTTCCCACAAATTAATTGAAAATACATTTTCTTTGTCTTGATAGAAAAAACTGGATCACATAACAAAACAAAAATTAAGCCTTAGAATATACAATTATTATGCAGAAACTTCAATTTTTTAAACATCTCTATTAATTTCAGTTCCTTCACTTTAGACATGCCATATTAAGTTTCTTTATGATGACACAGAACTAAATTGACATTTAACTGAAGCCTGAAGACTAAGGTAAATAGTTTGTATTCATTTTTACAGAATAGATTCTGTGAATCACTCTCCTCAGGGCTCCCTTCACCTCCTTGTTTCTCAGGCTGTAGATGATGGGATTAAGCATTGGGGTCAGGATAGTGTAGAAGACAGCCAGAACCTTGTCCTCTGTTGGAGATCGAAGGGATCTTGGACGTAGATATGTGTAAGCAAAGGGCATGTAGTAGAAAGTCACCACAGTGAGGTGGGTACTGCAAGTTGAATAGGCCTTTCTCCTACCTTCTGCTGAGTGCATGCGATAGACAGCAAGGAGAACATGGCCATAAGAATAGGCAATACCAATGAAAGGCAACACAAGGAAGAAGACAGTACTCACAAACACTGTGTATTCATAAACCAAAGTGTCCATGCAAGCCAGGTTCACCATGGCTGGGACATCGCAGAAGAAATGATTGATGGCCCTGGATCGGCAATAAGGGAGATGGAGGACATATATGGTGTGAGCACAAGAGTTGATAGAGCCCATTATCCAAGATCCTGTTATCATAAGGACAGACACTTTTTTGCTCATACGAACAGGATAGTGGAGAGGAAAGCAAACAGCCACATAACGATCATAGGCCATAGATGCCAATATTAACGCTTCAGCACCTCCTAAAGTCAAGAAGAAAAAGCTCTGAATCCCACACTCAATGGAGGAGATAGACTTGTTTTCAAACAGAAAATCAGAGGCCATTTTGGGGACAATGGTGGAAATGTAGTTCAGGTCAATGAAGGAGAGCTGAATAAGTAGGAAATACATGGGTATGTGGAGATGGGTGTCCAGAAGAATGAGAAGGATCATCGATAGATTGCCAAACCAAGCCATTAGAAAAATCAGAATGATGAGAATGAAGGTGAATAGCCCAATTTTTGATGGTGGAAATAACCCCAATAAGATGAAATCAGTAGATGTTTTGTTGTAATTTTCCATGAAGTGTTCATTTAGTGTTTCCCTAAAGACAGACATATATTATGTATAGAGCAATAAGCTATTTTTATTATTTTAGTCAAACTGTGATTTATTTATAAAACACAGTGCATACATTCAAAATAAATTATCTTACCTCTTTTGAAAAAAAAAATATGACTGACAAATAAAGTCTTGGTTACACAAATACCTGTTTACAAAATGTTTTATAGAAATCTATGAATTTGTGAGAAAAATGTATTTCTCCAAAGATGTTATTAGGATACAGATATTTTATTTCTCTACATAAATTCAGGTAACATCAAAGTCAGAACTTACACTTTAAATATATGCATAGAAAATCAGTATAATTGCATATAGACCTATATTTGAATACATCTTTATAACATTTATAGAACATTTTTTTTCTTTTGTATTTAAGCACCAATACCTCTGAAAGTGAAGTAGTCTATCAACTCATGTTGCAGACCTACCCTTTTTTAGTTATGCTTGCACAAAACTAACAAATCAGTTTTCTTAGATGGCAAATATCATAATGTGTTTCTTCTTTTCAGGAGTCTACCGTGAAATCTTATTACCAAATAGCATTTGTGTCAAGCCATTGTCTTCTTTCTCTTCACCCAATTTCTGAATGCTCTAGTTAAATCAGACCCTTTTCACTGTGGCTTCCATAATTCAACTCAAACTCTCCTGAAGAAGACATGCATTCTGTTCATCTGCTTCTCAAAGTTTATATAGCATTATATTTTGCTTTATGACACCTTTCCCTCTCATTCTTTTTTTTTGTGCTTTATTAAAATTCTTCCATTTCTCAATAAGTGTGGGACTATGAACATATTTTAGCACATGTCCATCATTAAACTCATCTCACATAATGATAAGAAAAAGTAGTGAAAGTCAAGAAGAAACTTGAGAAAGGAACCATGGATGTAGAGTTTAGAAAGTTTGGGAATAAAAAATTTTGAGAAACAATTATTCCTTCTCTTAACTGGAGAAGGAAAAAGAACAATCTGAGAGTCTCCTAAATGTAAATGAATGGGCATACTCTTTAGAGAAAATTCCATCAGTGAGCAAACTCAGAATGCTTTTCTTAAAAAAGAGGTGGCAGTACTTACAGCTTTATAATATTGCTCTAAGACCACAGGTTATCAGGCTTTTGAGGAATTTTTCAAGTGAAAGAGAGATATGNCAAAAATGTCTCTACCTGTGAGATTTTGATTACAGAGATACAGCCATATTATCTCCTTTGAAAATCAGCTTGTAAATGTATGTATTCAGAATAATTATTCAGTTAATCCCTACATCATGATAGGAAAATCCAATAACTAATCTTTCAATGGTTGCCCAATATCAAAAGGAATTGTAAATGGTCATTACATAAATTCACTATATATTATTTATTTGAATAGATTTTTTTCTGTACTTTATTCAGTTGAAAATTAAACTTAAGAAAAGTGCACATACTACTGATTCTTATATTTATAGAAGAAATAAATTTTCAAATACAGTCTCATTATTAAAAGAATGAAAAATTCCTTTCTATAGGGGTGCAGTGAATTATATAACACTATACTTTGATAAAGTGGCAGATCTGGTGAGATGACCACTATGAGTGAGACACTGGTGTGGTTTTCTTTGAAGTAGAGATTTTCTTTTCCTGTACAACTTTGCTTTTGACCAAAAGTAGTCTCAAAGAAACAACTTTTGATTACTCAATAAATCTGGAAAATTTGCTGTGATCATTTTCATAGGTGAAACAAGACTGTGTATTTACAAAGGAAACCTTAAATTGGCTTTGCTAGAAGTTTTATAAAGTATTTTAGACTAGTTTTGTTTTTGTTAATAGTCCATTGTAACAAACAAAAACAAACTCTTGACCAGATATACATGGGTCACATCCTCTCTTTGTAAGATCCCTGAAAGAGTGTAAAGTGTTGTCTTTCTCCAAAGGAAAATTACTCACCAGTGAGACAAATATCTTGTAAAAAAAAATTAAAAATTACCACATTAGTTTTCAGAGAATTTTGAACCTATTGTCACCATAAAGTTTGCCTAATTTTGAAATTTTTGGTCATGTTTGTACCTGAATATCCATAGATAATAATTATATTGCATTGCCAGTAGTTATTTAGAATTCACAGTATTTTAAAATGGCTTTCAAATATTCTGAATCACTGGAACAATATCTCTGGGGTCTAGCCAAGAATAATTCTCCACAGTATCCTTTAATGGAATTTGACTTAAAATTCCATACTTTTTCCAAGTTTTTATACAACAGATTCTACTAAAAAGGACCAAGAGTACATAATTTGCATTACTTTAGTGATTTGGATTAATATTCTCATTAAATATTTTAATGTGTATATTTAATTGTACATAAGAATGTAAAGTAAATGAAATTTAAAAGAGATATAGTGTATACAATATTTGTACACACAGCTTATAATACAAAGAAACCTAAAGGTAAAACAATGTCTACATTTGAGACATATCTGAAGCAACAATGTATTTTCTAAATTTAAAGTTTATCTTATAGAAATTATTCAGTTACACCAGAAACACCAAGGGTGGAGATGCCCCAGCTGCTGGTGAAGATGCATGAACAGGTCCCACCAGCTGTACATTTTGAAAAATAAAGCTTTATTAAATAAAAAAAAAGAAATTATTCAGGTATTATTAGAAATAGTGGATGTGTTTCAATTATCTACATTTTTTGTGTACTTCTAAATTATATATTTTCATGAAATTCCACAATGATGAGTCATATTGCTAGATAGAAACTAGGAAAATGGGTAGGCTAATAACTTGAGAGAGAAATAAAAATGATTACTAGTATATATACTTTGAGCTTGGATTCATATTAAGGATTCGTTTACTCTGCTTTACTGAGTAAGCATGCAATATAGAGTTTAGGGTAAAATTATGTCTAATCTTAATTCTATCACACATCAAACTGGGATTGGTGGATTTAACTCTATGAGCCTCTAAAGTGAGCAAATTAAAATTGCAATAAAATATAATCTCACACAGTTAGAATGGCTATTATCAAAGAACAAATACAAGAAGTGTTGCTAAGCATGTGGAGAAAAGGGAACTCATCTTCAGTCTTAGTGAGGATGTAAATTGATACAGCCACTGTGGATAGTATGAAGATTTCTCAAAATATTAAAAATAAATCTAGCAATCCATCTTATAAGTATGTACCCAAGGGAAATGAATTAGTATTACAAAGAGATATCTCTCTTCTTATGCCTATTTCAGCACTGTCCACAATAGCTAAGTATCCGCTAATTAATAAATTGATTTTTTTAAAAAGGAAATATATATATGTATATCTATATATATATATTACACAACCTTAGAAAAAATATACTTCTATTTGCAACAACATGGATGAGCTTAGAGGAAATTATGCAAAGTAAGATAAGCCAGACACATAAAGATAAATATTGCTTGAGTTTACTTTTACCTGGAATCTAAAATAGTCAAGCTTACCGAAGCAGAGAGTAGAAAGCATAAGGGGAATTAGAAATAGAGAAATTTGGGTCAAAAGCTGAAATATTTCCATCATACAAGATGAGTAAGTTTTGGAGATTTAACGCAGAACAATGGAAATAGTCAACAATAGTGAAAAGTAAACAATAGTCTATTGTATACTTAAAAAGTGATATGAAAGTAAGCACTAAGTAACTTAAACAGAAATAAAAAGGTAACTATGTAGGTTGAAGTATATGTCAGTGACATTAATTTGATGATTATTTCAGAATGTGTATATATATTGAAGCATCAATCTGTATATCTTAAACATAACCATTTTTATTTGTCAATTGTAGCTTAATAAAGCTAGAAAAAAGAGTTATTATAAGATTTTATGAGAAAACGTATCCTGGTCACATTGCACATGCCTTGAATAAGCTATCACTGAACATTAGCTGCAACATTTACCATCTTCATCATCGTCATTGACAGTAAAATCTACATAACCATATCACTTTCATCTACACCCTTGTCATCTCAAAATTTACCAGCCAGTATGGTTCACAAAATGTTCTTATATTCATTCCTTATGATTTTAACAAAGTATCCTAGACTACAAAACTAATTATGCCAGTTATTTATCAAAAGTAGTTTTTTGTTAATTCAAATCAAAATTCTCTTAATAACTTGTAGAAAAATCTCAACTCTTATGCAATAAATAAAAATAAGAATACAATTAGAACGTTTGCCTTTTATCATGTTCCCACTTTACACTATCATTGAATTGGATAGCTGATGATAGTCTTATAGTCATCATATGATTAAAGTTATTTTTCTAAGCAGACTGAAAATTTTACAAATACATATATTCATCTCTCACCTCTGCACTTGATGTTTTAGATAATTCCACGAAGACTCAACAGCAACCACAATTCCTGCACTACTCTAACTAGAAATTAAGTATAAAATTTATTTTGCGTGTGTGTTCACCTTGGAAAGCCCACTGAGACTTCACTAATTGAGGTCAAGTCACTAAAGGCTCAGATTGGTCATAGGCCAAGAGTGAGGAAGAAGTTCTGAAAATGAATGTCTTTAGATATTTTTACAGATGTGTTAAGAGTCAATTTGGTGTGAAAAGAAACACATATATTTATTCAAATTATTCCTGTTATTATGTCTCTAGCATGTAATGGAATCATATATTTTATATTTTATAATTCAGTAAGTGCATAAAACACTGGAGTGCTTCTTTCTATTGTGTTCACTTTATTGCTCTTCAATTTAAAATTTTCTGGCAACCCTGTGTTGAACAAGTCTATCTGCCATTTTTCCAATAACATTGCTCACTTTGTGTATTTGTCATCTTTTGGTAATTCTTACAGTATTTCACACTCCCCAACAGCCAAAAGATTATGATTCTCTGAAGGTTCAGATGGTGATTACAACTTTTCAACAATAAAGTATTTTTAAATTAAACTATGTACATTTTTAGAAGCAATGCTCTTACACACTTACTTGAATATAGT